TCACTTCATTTATTATTTACCTCATGAAGAGCTAAAATCCTTACTATATAATGATGATATTGAGCAAAAAGGAGCTCAGATCATTCCCTGTGACAGCCAGAAGGAGTGTGATCCCATCCTCTCCTCTATTCCCTTTGCCTCTCGCAGGGAGCCGGGGGACAACTACCTTAGCTCCAGGGACTTCTTGGTACCACTGTGGTTGCTTTAGCACCACCCCCTAGACTGAGCTGACAAGAGCCATGGGCAGCCCTGACTGATGTCCCTCTCCTGCACAGAGCCTCTCTAGGCACTGCTGAAGCTTCTTCAAAGACAGGTGAAAAATTACAACAGCATGGAAATTAGGGAGAAACTAAAGTCTCCTGCCCTTAATCTTGCAATCTTCAAACCTCAATAGGCCATGATCAATACTGCTGCCCCTCCTGGAGACCCCTCAGAACCAAAGTCGCTTTCATTTCAGCCCCGCCACTTTCTCTGAAAAGCAGGAGGTGTCAATCAGGTTGCTGCTTCCCCCGCTGTTTAGCATGAGCTGTCACCATGACAGCAGTCTGTCCTAGGCACTCCGCTACTGCTCCAGGCGTCATTTACCTGGCCATAGCTGCTTCAAACAAGGACCTATCTCAGATGAATCTGCCCTACAGCCACTGAGGTGACTCCCCTCTACAACCTTCAGACAACCCCACCCTCATCTGAGACTACTCCAACCGTGCTGAAAAACTGCAGGAAACTCCATGCATGGGGCTGAAACTCCTCTACATAAACAGCGTTCCCTCCCACTCTGAGTCAGCAGAGAAAGGCTCCTTTTAGTACACTATCCAGTGTGCTTCAATGTGATCCCAACAAAGGCTCCCACAGGTGATCCTATTCATGATTCTTAACTGGGATAGAGTGAGCTGAGCTGGTAGCGGGGTGTAATGGAGAAGGCCTGGTTTTCTCAGCACTTGGGGGGCTGAGACAGAAGGATTACAAGTTTGAGTCCCACTTAGAGAACTTAGCAAGACCTAGAACCTCAGAGACTGGAAGAGAGGGAAACAGCCAAGAGCAGCAGAGGGTAAATAACAGTGGAGATAAGCAGTGACCAGCAGTAAGCAGCACTGACTTTGGAGGCCTATGGTGACCAACAGAGAACCCCAGAGGGGCAGTGGAAGCTGCCACAAGACCTCCAGACAGCAGCAAAGGGGCTATAAGACTTGGCTGCTGAAGAGTTGATGCAGCGGCTAGAAGCTACTCTAACACTAAAGTTGTAACACTGAGAGATAAGGGGCACTGGTGCACAAATTCAGGGCTGCACCACCAATGGCTGGGAGCTCCTGGCACTCAAATCCTGGAGTCAATAACATGAAGGAAGCTGCGCTTTGCCGGTTTGCAATGTCAATCCAAATTGAGCAAAAGAACCCTTAAGGAACATAACAATAACAAGCAACAGCTTGACAGAACATCATTACTAGTCAATGAATGTCTGTATCAGGGCAATCATAAAACTTATAAAGGGTTTCCTATGAAAATCTTACAATAATGAAGTTATAGGACATTACAGGAAGTAAATACTTCCTGACATAAACATGCAGAACACATGTCCATAAAATCACATTACTTCTGTCTCAAGATTGTGGACTGACCACATTTATTTTCTCCTTCTGACTCTATTCCTATTTAATGATAATGAAAACATAGATAAAAATCCAATGCAATAAAAGGTTGTAGAGGAAGGAGAGGAATCAGCCATCAGTATATAAGAAATTTCAACAAAATTCTAGAAAGCAAATGCAAACAAAAATACAGTGTTTGGCAAGATAGGACAAAAAAAAGCTGGTGTCTACAATAATGTAAAAAAGAAGTTACTAAGAAGACTATGAACAGAGTGGTTAAAAGTTCATCAAGTGCCAAAATGACATGATAAGTGTATATCTACAGGACAAAAAAATATGCAAATGTCACTTACACACACACACACACACACACACACACACACACATACACACACACACAAATACAGCAAACTTTGGAAAATGGTTTAACTCCAAAATATGACATTGGGACTCCCTTATATTAACTCTTCACATACAGTACAAAAGCACTGCTCACCTATTTAGCAGCCCTAATCAGTATTTCATTGACTGTCTGAAATATAGATGAAAGCCTTTTATTTGAGGAAAACCTGTAAAGTAACAGTAGGGGAAGGCAATAAAAATACAGGCTCTAGGGAAAGTTAAAATAACTCAAGTAACAAGGGAAAACTTCTAAACATCTGTAAATTTTATGATTTGAAAGTATTTAAAAGTTATTTCTTGTTCTTAACATAAAATAAGAACAAGATACTATGAAAGAAAAACAGCAACCAAGAAAGAGAGCTTAGTAAGAAACCTTAAGTAATAAGATAGGACCATGAAAATAAAAAATGCCAGCAGAGTTGTAGGAAAGGCAGAAGAAGAGAAGGAGGAATGGAATCTCAGCAAGTTAGCTGAACTGGGTTCCAGCAATATAAGTACATGACCTATTTCCTAAGAAATAATTTCGCAAGACATAGAACCCACATTACACAAATTCTACAAAACAAGATAAAATCGAAGAAAATAAAAGCAAAACCCATCGTGATCACTATACAGAGTCATGACTAAGGAGCAATCATCCAAACAATTTATTAACAACACACTGAAGACAAGTATACGTTTAGAACAGACAATATGTTATCAATCTTGAAAATGCAAAAAAAAAAAATAGCATTAGAAGACAAAAGAAAGCAGATGAAGAGAAGATGGCTGAGAAGGGCAGGAGCTAATATCTTCATTGTATAAAGTGTGAAGTCAAAGGACACTGTTAGTGGTTCTTAGAAAACCAAATAACACCAAGTGTTCATCATTATTATCACATTGTTCTTAGGAATTCATGCCAACTGTGTGCCAGGCACTTACTAAGAATTTTTAGGGCTGTCCATTTAACAATTGTATAATACAACTGTTAAAGTGATCCTTGAAGAAAACAAAGTAAAAATATTTGGACTGGGGACATAGCTCAGCGGCAGAGTACTTGCCTAGCATGTCCAACACCCTGGGCTAGATAAAAGGCACCATAAGCAAAAGTAAAAATTTTTAAGCTGCATGGTAGGTAACCCGGGTAGAAAGCACAGATGGTCATGGAGCTGAAGAGGAAGAGAGAAATAAGGGGTGTAGTGAAAACAGGCTGGTGCTTTATATACTGGGACAAGAAATAAACAGTTAATAATGTCTAAAATTGTATAACTCAAGAAACAGGCAAAAGTACACCACCTAGAGAATGGAGACGATCCCCAGAAGAACTAAAGCAACGCATTTATGGGCTGCGGAAGTAGCTTGGCAGCACAGTGCCTGCCTGACAAACTTAAGTCCAGTCCTGGTAACAAAGAAAAGTAAAACACCAAAAACCACAGCTTACCAACATGTATCACCATTAATAGCTAAGTTCCTTATTCATCGTTCTAAGAACAAGAAGATTTCAATGCTCTGTTGACCACAAGTATAACGACCAGTGACAAAATTCTTGTTCAGATGACTGATCCTAACAAACCTGTCACTTTCACACTGGCCTAGAGTTTCAGGAATGATACCAGTGGCAAAAGGGGTTGAATCAATCTAGACAGATGCTGTAGAAGGTGCGTAAGTTCAGCAGTAGATCTTATATACTACCCAGCTGAAGTCATAACCCACAGTCAGGAACTCAAGCCAGCCCTCACACACATTCACGGGAGTCTGCAGAACGCTGGCTTCCATTATGCTTTGGATTATTTTGCTTTGTCTTGTGGTACTAGGGATTGAACACAGGGCCTTCTGCAAAGGCTACATCCTAAGCCCATTTTTAAATTTTTTATTTTGACAAATGATTGTGCTAAGTCACTAAATTGTGACTAAGAGGTTCAAACTGACGACCTCCTCCTTCAGTCTCCTAGAGTACTGACATTGCAGGCATGCACTGCCAGAATCGGCCCCATCACAATCTTAATTTTGAAAAAGCAGCACTCGTATAAAAACCCTGAGTTAAAAAGAGGCAGTCTCCCCAGGGACAGAGTGTCTTACTCTGCCACATTTAATCTGCTCCCTTACCTTATGCCACCAGGCGGGCTCTTGGTAGGTTTTCTGCATTTCTGACCCTTGCTACACAACAGATTACATGGTGATAACACACCTTACCAATGCCAAGAGTCTCTGTGAAGATGGACTGTTATGATCAGGTGGCAATCAGGAGGCAACTGTGAATACACGACTGACAATGATTCTTAGCAGCAGAAATTCTAGAAGGTAGTTAGCAGCTCTAGATAGAAGCTATTCCTACCTAAAAATTATTCTAAATAGGTATTTTAAAGCAATGAATCTCTTGGCCAGGCGTTGGAGCATGCCCATAGTCTCAGCACTGGCAGGCTGAGGCAAGAGGATTACTGCAAATTTGAAGCCAGCCTGGGCTACAAAGTGAGTTCAAGGTCCACCTGAACTGCGTAGTGAAACTCTGTCTCAAAAAGACAAAAAAAAAAGCAATGAATCTCTTTTTGAGGTATTACATTAGGGGCCACCTACGGAGAAAAAAATGTATGTAAGAATTACTGTGCATGCCCCAAAATCAACAATTATCTTCTTTCTTTTTTTGGGGGTGGGGGGTGGGGGGTGGGTGGGAAGAATGACAGAGGGTCACCCAATGCAGTTCGGGTTGGCCCTGAACTCAGTATATAGCTCAGCCTGGCCTCCAACACACAATGATCCTCCTGCCTCAGCCTCCTGAGTGCTAGGATTACAGGTGTACACAACCACAACTCACTTTTTAAAAATGAAGAATTTCTATGTAGATCTATTTGATTGCAACTTACTCCCTGCCAACTGCTTTATTTTTAATAGATCTAAGACTGAACAAAGAAAATTACTAAATGCTACTGATCAGCATCAGAAGATAGCACATATCAGAAATAAAAACTAAATCACAAGGTCCAATAATTAATACTGCAATCTCTATTTCAGGTAAACCTGTCATCATATACTTACATTTTAATGTCTCTCCAGCGTATGGTATGTGCAGCTTGAATCGGTCACAGTTAGGCCCAGGAGTCAAGGAAGTGCAGCTTTATGAAAAGCACAAAGAGGAGATATTTTAAAAACAAATTTTAAAGACCAATTTATAATAGTTAAGTAAACAAAAAGTGATTCATAAAGGCAAAGTAAAACATTGGGTTGCAGAATAAAAATGAAAGCAAAAAAAGCCTTTATGGTCATGGAGGAGAAGACAGCAAGCCTCGCCCTAAAACCAGTCATCTATCTATCTCACAACACAACTTATCTCCTCTAGCAACTCACACCATCAGTACTTCAAATACACCTCTCAAAGAAGTGCATCTCAACTTTTAAAACTAGGTATATCATCCAAAACAGATCTCCCGTCTTTGACGCCAAGAATTATAAGAGAAAAGTAATTTTATGGTCATATTTTAAACATGGACTTTAAGCTTTCACTCTGTTAGAACAAAAAAGCACCCGCTTTGGGCCTTTTTCTGGTACCAGATGGCTTTCTTTCTTTCCACAAAGGTACACGCTCCTCTAGATTTGGCACGCTGTGACTTTCATCTGCAGTAGAGCACTGTGCACTGCACTTTCTTTCAGATAAAATGCAAATTTTACATGGTGGGACTGAATTAGTCACCCAGGTCTCAACATTTTTTTAATGTATTACTTCACAAAGTTCTTTCTTTTTACACATATTTACTTTACAAGGTATCTCATGATCTTACAAGTCAGAATTTCAACTACATAACAGCAGTACTGGCCTCATATTTTAATAAAATGCAAATATAAAATCAACTGAGAACGTTGGATGTCTTCATTTCACTGTTTAAAATTAAGATAATTTACAAAGCAAGGAGACTGATTTTCTTTCATAACTCCAAAAGTAACCCTAAAGCAATTCTAAAACTTGAATTTATAAAAGCAGTTTAATTGATGAAGAAGTTGGAATAAATGCATGACTTCCTTAGATGGCCGCTTGCAAGGGAAAGGTCATTTGGAAATAAAGTCAACAAATACTGGCTTTAAAGACAGTAGCTCAGTCCTCATATCAGGTTTACTATTTCTTCTTCCCAAAACTATCTGAATGTGAAAGAGAGAGAAAAAAAGCCTTTGAATCAGATGTACTTAACATAAATAACTAGAGTATCCCTCTTTATTGTTAGGAACTTAAAAAAGGTATCAGTTTCAGAAATCAACAACAAGAGAAATACAAATTAGAACAACAGTGAAATATCTCCTTATTCTGGAAAGAATGCCTGTCAGAAAATCTAGTAACAAATGCTGGGAAAGGGGCTGGGGATTTAGCTCAGCGGCATAAGCACCTGCCTTGCACCAATAAAAATGAAAAAGCAAAAAAAAAAAGCAAAACAAATGCTGGGAAAGTGGCAGGAGGATAAAAGGGACCCTTCCACATTGCTGGTGAGAATGTAAACTAGTACAACCAGAATGGAGACAAATATGACAACTCCTCAAAAAACTAAAAATAGCACTTCCGGGAGAACATGGCGGACAGATAGCAGCATCTATGGAGGCTCTCTGAAAGACCCAGCTTAGAATTCAGGAATGGTGCAGAGTAAGGAATCATAAGCAAGTGGAGATATGCCCCGCGGACCCAAGAATGAACTGGGCTGAGAGAAATCAACTGGGAATGCAATCCTGGTGCTATAACAGGAACAGAAAAGCCTCAGTGTGGAAGTTGGAGCCCGCACCATTGGAAGCCGCGATTTGGGTTTCCCGCTGCCGCTGCTGCGTCTACATCGGCTCAGCAGGGAGAGAGACTCACAAAAACTGAGAACGGGAATCAGTGAACAGAGTTGAAAGCAGGACGGGCCGGGAGCTGTGCATTGACCTGAGGTGAGTGAGGGAAACTGGGACTCTTCCATGGCCTAGGAGACTCCAACAAAGGACATTCTGGGACTGGGCAGACTTGCCAGAACAGGGCGCTGCAGTGACTCCAGTCATGTATCCCCCTCTCAAGCGGGATTGGTGAGCAGTGCCTAGCCTATGTGACGCTGCTGGCTGAGACCCAGTAGGCTAGCACAACCCAGGTCCCAGCACCTGAAGGTAGATTGACCTGGAGGGGCGGCCCCGCATAGGCTGCCTGGTCTGCAACTTCCTGGTGCGCTGCAGTGGGTGGGAACACCTAACCAGGTGCAATTCAATCAGACTGTGGCCGACAGGGAAGGAAGCTGAGCCTCCTATATACACTTGCATATATAAGGAACAAAGAATATGGGAAAAGGCAGCAACAAGAATGGCTCCTTGGCCCAAAATCTTGAGAAACAGGCAATAGCAGACACAGCACCAGTAGATATAAAGCGCTATCTCCAGAGCCTCATAGACGAGTTCAGGAATGAAGTTAATAATGACCTGAAGCTAGACATAAGCAGAAGAGTTAGAGAAATGCTAAGTACCACCCAAGAAAACACAGATGGTGGAACGGAAGAACAGAAAAAGACAGGAGAATTGTTTAATGGAGAAAATAGAAAAAGCATAGAATAAGTGAAGCAGGTTCAAAGAGATTACCAGGAAACTAAAAACTCTATCGAAAACTGGCATAACAGCTTGAAAGAAACTAAGGACAGACTATCTGAACTGGAGGGCAGATTTGTAATATGGGAGCATGAAATGAAAAACTTCTTAAAAGTAACAAAGAAACAAACAGCAATAATACAAAGACTAGAAGATGATAAGAGGGTCTATAACTTAAGAATTAAGAACATAAAAGAGGAAGTAGGGACACAAACAAATGAACTACAAAAGCTACTCACAGAAATAATCCAGGAGAATTTTCCTAATTTAGCAAAAGGTAAAGATACTCAGTTGTATGAAGCATACAGGACCCCAGCCACCTACAACCCAAACAGAGCTACACCCAGGCATATAATAATTAAAATTCCACAAATCCAATACAAGAACAGAATATTAAAAGCCTTCAGAGACAAGAAACAGATCACTTACAAGGGAACACCCATCAGAATTACAGCAGACTTCTCGGCACAAACCATCAAATCACGAAGAACGTGGGGGGAAATAATTCAAGCTTTGAAAGATAATAACCTCCAGCCAAGATTGATATATCCTGCACAACTATCCCTGGAAATTGATGGAAAAACAAGGTGCTTCCAGGATAAAGAGGAACTAGGGGAATATGCAACCACCAATTCAACTCTACAGAGAATACTGCAGGATATTCTAAAAAAGAAAAATATGAAGAATCCAGAAATAGCGGCAGAGAGGCCACAATGAATGGAGCAGAAAACAAAATGAAGAAGACAAACTGACAACTAATGACAGAAAAAGAGCTCAACAGAAATGAGGCAGGGAAGATTGGATGATAGGAACAGCTATTTTGGAGAAAATGACGTCTTAAGAGGTAATACTGATTTAGTATCATCTTGTTTTGAAGTCTCATCAAGCTTTTGTTCTTCTGTCTCTATTGGTCTAAACAGGTTGTATCTTATTGGATTTTATTATATGTGATAGTATAAACAAAAACTTTTATAGACAAGGAGATTATACAGAAACCATTGTTCATTTTCTGTTAGTTGATTCTAAATACCCTGTAATACTGTCATTTTCTTAAATGGTTTTACATTGTTTTGATATATTTGATGCTACAGTATACGAAGTTATACTCAAAGATTTCAAGGAAAGAGACAATATGGTAACTACTTTTATGTCGGGATTATCTTGTGGTGAAACACTATTTTGCTTAAATGGTTATGTTTGATCTGCGCTGTTTTGCTGTTATGCCCTCTTTTATCTCAATCTCCATTTTATTATTTACTTTTTTATTTTTATCCTTTTAATTAAGGGAAAAATAAATAAAAAATAGCAGGATATATTATAGTAACCCACTTTGACTCTCCATTATCTTGATTTAAAGCCCTGTATTGCTCTCACCATCTTGTTTTGACTGATGTTCCTCTATTCTGTTTTGCTTGATAGTACCAGGTTTGAAAGTTTAGGCAACAGCTGTGAAGATAGTGGGATTCATTATGATGCCCATTCTGGTTGACTATTATCTACTTTTGAAGACCTATAATGTCTCCAATGTTTTGGTTTTGTTAGTTTTGTTCTTTATTGTTTTGTTCAATTTTATTATAACTGATGATATAGGCAATTCTATTAGAGATAGCGGGAGGCATCATGGTAACCATTGTTGATCACTTTGTATTATGCTTTTACATTATTATGTCCACCTTTTTAATTTGACTGACTCTGTTCTGTTATGTCACATTTGGTTCTACTCTCTTCCAAAAAAGTAGTAAGAACTGTGGGAGCAACAAAACCCAAAATGTGTAATTGTCATTGTACAAAAGAGAGGAAAAGAAAGTGCTCTAAACGATATAACTGCATGTATATTTAAATGTATAAGATAGATAGATTTAAATGTATAAGATAGATAGTACTGAGTTTTGTTGGATCATTGAACAGAACTGTTTGCAGTCTCACTGTTGGAATGTCCACTTTATAAGCTTTAATTTTGTAACTTGAACAATTATTTCTAAGATGACAATATGTAATCCATTAACTAGTGATTTCCTACTGTTTATTTTTTTCCATAAACCTGTATAACTTGTACCCTTTCTCTGCTTTTTTTTTCTTTTTCTCCTTAAATAAAATTTAAAAAAAATAAAAAATATAAATAAAAATCCCATCTGACCCAGTTCTCCCTTCTAGGAATCTCCCCACAGGAGTGACCGTCATCCTTACTACAGTGACACATTCATATCCCTGTTTACAGAGCATAATTCATAATACCTGCACCTCAGAAACAGATGAACAGATAAATAAAATGTGGTATTTCTACACAGTGAAGGACTACTTTGCCTTACAGAAGGCTTAACAATGCATCAGCAGATACATGGATGGATCTTACCACCACTACGCTAAGTGAAATAAATCAAACACTCAAGTGTAAGTATCACATGGTTCCTCTTATATGAGAAACCCAAAACATAAATAAAGAGCAAAATAAAGGTTGGATAACAGGAGGTAGGGAGATCTTTTTCAAATGGGAAGAAGAACAGGTGATACATGGAAGGAGGAAAGGAAG